ATTGCCCGATATATTTGAGCGTCAGCATCAGAACAAGGATCGCTAGCTAAAGAAGCAGTGAGAGCAATTGGTGTAGAGCAAGGCTTTGAAGCAAGCATGCCAAACCGAGCCAAAACATCTCTAGCATACTTAGACTGATTAACGGTAATGCCASCAGTTGAATAACCAATTTCAAGTCCAAGAAAGTATTTCAGAACACCCGAATCAGTCATTTCATACCGAAGACGAAGTTGAGAGACTAATTCTTCAATATAAGCATTATTGCTGCCCGTTACAATAATATCATCAACATACAGGAGTAAGTATGTGATAGAATGATTGTCATGTCGAACAAACAAAGACGAATCAGCATGAGAGGCCACAAAACCGAGTGTTAGAAGGTGGGAAGTAAAACACTCGAACCATGCACGTGTAGCTTGCTTTAAACCATAGAGAGACTTAAGTAGCTTGCACACATAATGAGGACGAGAGGAGTCAACAAATCCTTGAGGTTGTTGCATATAAASCTCTTCTTGAAGTTCCCCATGGAGAAACGCATTCTTAACATCCAACTGTCGTAAACTCCAATTAAACTGGGCAGCCAAGGATAATATGATTCAAACAGTTGGTTTTTTTACTACCGGGCTAAAGGTTTCTTCATAATCAATACCAGCCTCTTGATGATACCCTTTGGCAACCAAACGTGCTTTGTATCTTGCAACACTACCATCAGGGTTACRTTTAACACGATACACCCATTTACAACCAATAGCACTCTTACCACAAGGTAAAGGAGTGAGAACCCATGTACTTTGCTTAAGTAAAGCATTGTACTCTTCTGTCATAGCATCTGTCCAAACAGGAAGTTTTGAGGCTGCTGTATAGGAAGAAGGCTCAGATTTTGAACCATTAGGAATCGAAGAGGCCAAGAAGGCTTTCTTCTTAGAGATACCAGATTTCCCCCTTGTCTGCATAGGATGAGCATTACGAACAACAGTATCATTGGCTGAGATAGATGAAGTATTATTAGGTTCACAAGGCGGAGGATCAACGGCTGCATAAGGTGGTGGATTTGAAACCAAATTGACTGTCGGATTGGGAGAAGAAACAGATGGGCAGACAATAGATACATTCAAAACACCATTTACACCATTTTGAGGTATAACGGAAGGTACATCAGAAAAAGAAGAAGAAGAAGAAGAATTAGATGGAGAATGAGAGGACAAGTCAGAAAGAAAAAGAGAAATAGGAAGTTGATAAGATRAAGAAGGTGAGGTAGTAAAAGAGGAAACATAAGAGGGAATAGAGAAGGGAAGAAATGTTTCATAAAAAACTACATGTCGAGAGGTATATAAGCGGCCAGTGCTCATGTTGTAACACAAATATCCTTTAAAATCTAGYGGATAGCCTAGGAAGACACATTGGGATGTTTTTGGTTGTAGTTTATGAGAAAGATAAGGTTTCAAGAGTGGATAACATGCACAACCAAATGTCTTAAGYGATGAGTAATCAGGTGATCGTTTGAAAAGAAGTTCAAAATGAGATTTGTGAGAAAGAGATGGTGATGGAAGTCTATTAATAAGGAAGACAGCAGTGGCGAAAGCAAACGGCCAGGATTTTAAAGGAATAGAGGATTTTGACATTAGTGTAAGGGCAACTTCAATGATATGTCTATGCTTCCTTTCAGCAATTCCATTTTGTTCGGGAGTATARGCACATGATTTTTGATGGAGAATACCATGAGTGCGAAGAAAGGATCCAAGATTATGGTTAATAAATTCTCCACCCCCATCACTACGTAAAATCTTAATTCGAGAGGAAAAAAGATTTTCAACAAGAGGTTTAAAGTTTTGAAACACAGTGGATACATTAGATTTCTTGTTAATAGGAAAAAACCAAGTATATTTTGACATATCATCGATAAAAGAAACATAGTAATTGAATCCATTAATAGAAGTTTCCGGGGCAGGACCCCATACATYACTATGCAACAATTCAAGAGGAAATAAGGAAACTGAATGAGAATTAGGAAAGGACAGTTTATGCATTTTGCCATTAAGGCAGTGTTGACAGATACAAGTAACAGCAGTACAACGAGGTAAATTCATGATACGAAAGACAGAATGAAGAACAGGGTCACTAGGATGACCTAACCTATTATGCCAGATAGAAGAAGACGTTTGTGCACCAACATGAGCAACATGGGACCGCGGAACAGATTTGACAGAGGTAGAAACAGAGTTAATGGGATAGAGCCCATTAACACTGGGGCCGTGAAAAAGAATCTGGCCCGAAGACTTGTCCTGAAGAAAAAATTGGTCAGCATAAAAAACAACAAGACAAATATTATCTAAGCACAGACGATGAACTGAAAGAAGATTTGTAGCAATGTTAGGAACATGGAAGAGATGTTTAAGTGAAAGAGAAGAGGTAGGAGTGGTAAGAATACCATAACCTGAATAGGTGATGGGTAATGAATGACCACTGCCTACAGTGATCTGATCTTCTCYAGAGTACTCAGATGCGCCGTTCAATTGATTTAAATCGGTGGTAATATGAGTGTTGCAGCCGGAATCAGTCAACCATGGCATATTGAAAGCATTTACAGCAACATAATTTTGCGCAGCAACCATTGCCGCAAGTTGGGCAGGTGGATGACTTCCTTGAAAGTTATAATTCATTCTATTATAACAGTCAAGTGCAGTGTGGCCTGGACGGTTGCAAATATGACAGACAAGGCGATGCTGTGCAGAATCAGAGAAAGGTCGATTTGGCTGAACACCAAAGGGGACCGTCGAAGAGTGACGTCCACGGCCTCCGAAATTTCCAGAATTACCRGTATTACCAAGGGAAGAAGTCTTCGATCGACCAGAGTTTTGAAATTTTCCCTTACCACCATTATAACCTCGACCACGCGAGATGTTTGGATTAACATTCTGAGCCTTAAAATTGCTAGCAAGAAGAGCAGTAGGTTGAGCAAATATCTCATCCTTCTTGTGTTGATTTGCAATAGCAGATTCTTCAGAGACCAGAAGAACATGGARTTCTTCAAATGAAACGGACTGAGAGCGGGTGCACATCGATGTCCGAAACGTATTAAATTCTGAGGGCAATCCATTCAGRGTGTAGATGATGAGATCTTCATCATCGATAAGCACAGAAACATTAGCAAGTTTATCCTTCAACTCCTTAACTCGTTGAATATACGAATCAATCGACTCACTACTTTTCTTGGTAATTAAACAAGGGCAAATTTTGTGGAAGTAGAGATAATGGCGGACGCATGGAAGTGGATCAAGACGCCGAGTCAAAAAGGTGCTCTGATACCATGAAATAATTCCATCATATACAGTGGAATAAAACTCTTCTCAATTGATTTCTAAAAGATGAGTTCAATACAGTATTTAAAAAAATACAAAATAACTAATTGATACAACTGACAACTGTCCAATAAACAAACTAAATCAGAATAAAATAATGTACAACTGATTTGGTTACTACAATGCACCTGATACAAACTAGTATATATAAAAGTGGGTGGGACCTTTATATTCAACCCTTCTTTTTTATATAAATTTTAATTTTAATTTGGCATAATATAAAGAAATTTACAATTTTAATTTTCCAAGGTACATTCTATTTTTACATTTTATATATTATTAGTTTCATTATTTTGAGATTAATTTTTAATTTTATTATTATAAATGTTCTTGGAAAGCCAACATCATGGTGAAACTTATCTCCGACCAAGAAGTGGTGAGTCGAAAGCCTCTACTCTCACTTATTGTACTAAAAAAATTAATGTATATTTTACATAAAATTTAGAAAAATTACCGGCAATTCTTACTAGATTCAAAATTACTTTTATGAATTCTCACCTATAACTAGTATGAAGTTCCCCATCAACAAAATTTTTGGATCCACCCCTGGTAGAAATTATAACTTGTTGGTAAATATACGCTATATATATAAACTGTGTAATACTGACAAACAAATTATAACGTAACTGTCTACAAACAATTACAGATCTTGACAACTAGATGAACACCAAAAACTGATAAATATAGTCGAGGCACGCTTCAATAGCATTGACCTGAAGACAATTATTCACTCTGCACAACTTGCTAACAGACTACAGCAACCGTTTCAGTAGGATATAACGACCTAACTCTGGTAGAACTGCAACCTCGAACTACTCGAATCTGGCAGAACTCTTAGATACTTGCTCTCAACATAAATAAAAACAACACCTAAAAAATAAGAGTGAATTCTTGTGAGACAAGGAGGAACTCAAATGAGAAAGTTTGATGTCTCAGATAGAAAAACTATAACATCTCACAGTAACTTAAACACATATGTAATCTTTTTACATATGTTATATATGTAACTTTAACACATAAAGTTACAAAGGTGTAATTTTGTAACTTTAACAAAATAAAGAATTAACTTAAAATTTAATAAAATAAAGAAATAAAACCACTAAAATAATAAATAAGGAATAATATTCCCAACGCATATGTGAATAATTTCTTTTAAGTTCACATTTTTTTACACCTTAAAAACCAACATAACTGGTCGTGATCCAACATAGGTGCCTTAACCCGCCAAGTCATGTTAAGGTTAACCAATTACAGTTAATTAGAGGTAAAGGTAAATCATAAATTATATAAATCAATGATTATCTTAATTACTATTATTAGAGCTAATTATTTATCGCGCCAATGATTTTTTTTTTAAATGCTATATTTGTGATATGTAAAAGGGATAATTATTTTAGAAAATGAAGTACTTGCTCAAATTTTCTAAATTCATTGGGTGGAGATTCCTAGTAAAGAAATCAATGGGTTGGCTGGCTACATTCACATACCATTTCAAGCCAATTTATAATTACTATGAAATCTCCCAAAAAGCAATGGCTTATAAGGAAAGTAAATGAAACCAAAAACTTGACCCAACTTTAGGGTATTGAGTGAGTTCCCCTACAATATCAGATTGACCAGAAATTACTTTGGAAAAGAATTATGAATTTGAGAGGTTCCATTGGCATCATCATAAAGCTCTTATGGCTGCTATTAGTTCCCTTTGTAGCAGCAAAAACTCATCRCCATAATTTCGTGGTATGTCTATCTATAGTAGGAGATTTGAACCTACGACCTATAAAAAGAGATATTTGATACTTGATCTAGCTCAAGTCAAGTGATGTTACGTTGATTGAGAATTGTGTTGTAACAGGTGAAGTTATCTCCATTCACGAGGCTTTGTAGCTCCAAAAACATCTTGACAGTCAATGGGAAGTTTCCTGGGCCAACGTTGGAAGCCCACAGAGGAGATAAAATCATCGTTCGTGTGTTGAATAAGGCGAAATACAACATCACTTTTCATTGGTTTGAAATTTTAGCTCTCTAGTAAAATTTATGTATTTTTTCTTAGTACAACAACATATAAAGTGGAGATTCGAACTCACGATCTCCACGTGAAATTTGTGTTCGTTAAATGTTATTCTACTTGGATCTTTGGTAATGCAAATGCAGGCATGGGGTAAGACAAGTTAGAAATCCATGGTATGATGGTCCGGAATACATTACACAGTGCCCAATTCAAGCAGGGAAGAGCTTCACTTACAAAATTCAACTCACCACAGAAGAGGGAACCATGTGGTGGCATGCTCACAGCGGCTGGGCTCGGGCTACGGCCCATGGGCCTCTCATCGTTCACCCGGGCCCATCACGGCCCTATCCCTTTCCCAAACCTCATGCACAAATCCCCATCATTATCGGTATATATCTCAATTTCTAATAAGAATCATTTATTTTTAGTTTTCTATTTTTAAAAAATTACGTTCGCTTCCTCGCAGTTTTTTTCTTAAAAATATGTTTAACTTCTAAACATTACTTTATTACTTTTCAAAACTTGAGTTACGTTAGATAATGTTTACTAAATCAACCTAGATCGTCTTACGTTTCAAAATATTAATTATAACTTTAAAAAGTAAATTATAAATTTTTAAAAAATAATTAGTGAAATAGTATATCATATAAGTTCTTATTTATTTATTTAATATCTGATTCAATTTAAGAAAAAATGTAAAATTATTTAATTTCTTTAATTAGGTGAGTGGTGGAAGGGAGATGTAATGGAAATACCAAGGAAAGCAAACAGAACAGGTGGAGAGCCAATGCTTTCAGATGCCTACACCATCAATGGACAGCCAGGATATCTTTATCCTTGTTCCAAACAAGGTACAAATTAAAATCCTTAATTTAATCAATATTTCCCAAAGAGAGAAAAAAAAAAAGAATTATAATTTATACCAATACCATAACCATTTATCATTCCTTTTCTATAAAACTTAGTTCAAATTATTTCAGGAGAATACTTGGTTGGACAATCTTGACATCGTTACCATTATTAAATATTTGACAACTAAACGAGAGAAACGCAAGAATAGAGACTTTTTATAAAAATTAATGAGTTGCCAATTTTTCAAGGGTGACGAAGACAAATTTGGTCCTCATCGTTAAAGAGCTAAGTATTTTCATTACTTTATTTTCTTTAATGTATTAATAAGTGTTACCTATTCTATTGATTAAATTTTTTTGTTTTTCAAGAAATCTCACGAAATCATATTGTTTTACGGTTTTTTCTTCACTCTCTCTTTTTGTGAAACGTGTAGTTTGAATGTGTGCTTGCATGTATATGTGAAGTATGTATACGTGCATATGTTTAAGTGATCAGCGTACTTAGTTACGTAGGTAACTAGTTTTTAGGTAGGACTAATTTAAAAAAACTATCTATCAATCAATCGGGTGTTTGTTAATGTAAATTTTGAAAATCAAGAAATGTGTATAGTTTGAATTCATGAGAAATTAAGATTGAGATATATGCACGCAGTTGTAGTTGAATTATGTATAAGAGTAGATTTTAGATTTCGAGGTTTATGAAGAAAATCACTTTCATTGTATCTTCCACGTAAAAATTATTTATGAAAATGATATAAATATTACAAAAAAAATAAAAGTTTTGAAAATTTTAATTTGAAAAATTAATTTTCGTGCAAGACTTTTACATTTTTAATTTCAAATTTTAGAAGAATAAAAACRATTAAAAATGGTTACCAAATATGTTTATGTTTTTTTTTTCATCAATAAATTAAAAAATAACATGAAATATGAAACAGGTACCAAATAAATTCTATTTTTCTTAATTGAAAAATAGGAAAGGAGAAACAACAAAGAGGAAAAAAGAGCAACAAAAAAAATAAAATGGCAAAAAACAAGCCCATTTCTTAATATTCCAGTTTCTTATTTATTGTTCTTGATTTTATTAAGTTAAAGCATGGGTGAAAATAAGCTTAACTCATTTGCACCTTGTTTCTTTTGTGGAGGTTGAAGATTAAATCTCTCCTCTCCATGTTAAAAACAATTTAGTATTGGATAACTATTTATGTTTTTTATTTTTTATTTTCTTATAAATGTTTCCAAAATTGTATAAATATTTTAGAAAAAAGAAAAAAAAAACTAGAAATAAGTTTTTTGTTTTTTATTCTCATTTTCAAGGAAACCAAGTTTCTTTCTGTTATGAAAAAAAAAATAAGAAAGAAAATAATTACCAAATGTAATTATATTATTTTCAACGTTAAAAAGGAAGAAAAAAAAATAAAAAACGTCAATGTTTGAGCATTATTTTCCAATGAAAACGTAATGTTTCCACATTCTGTAAAAGTTGTTCAATTTTTACAGAAACATTTGAGTTCACAATGGAGCAAGGAAAAACCTATCTTCTCCGTATTGTGAACGCGGTTATGGACGAAGATCTGTTCTTTGGAATCGCAAAGCATGAGATGACATTGGTCGCGAAAGACGGTATCTACACAAAACAAATCAAAACTCATTACATAATGATCACACCAGGTCAATCCATGGACCTTTTGGTCACTGCAGACCAGTCCCCAGGCCTCTATTTCATGGCTGCAAGATCCTACTCCAGCGCTCTTGGAGCTGGCTTTGACAACACCACAGCCACGGCCATTCTAAACTACTCAAAACCCAATCATCTCAACCATTTCTTCCCAAATTTGCCCCCATATGATGCAACCAAAGCAGCGACGGATTTCACCAAACGCCTGCGAAGCTTGACGATCGATGACCGTCGAGCTGACGTTCCTTTAAACATCGACACTCGTCTGTTCTTCACGTTGTCTGTCAATCTAATGAGTTGCAATGCTTCTGATCATAGGGCTTGTGCTGGGCCATTTGGGAAGAGGTTTGCTGCAAGCATCAACAATGTGAGCTTTGTGACCCCATCTGTTGCTATGCTTGAAGCTTACTACAATGATGTCCATGGCGTGTTTACGACAAATTTTCCGAGGAAACCACCGAGAAAATTTGACTACACGGGCAAGAATCTGTCGGAAAATTTGTTGGCTACTTCTTTTGGGACTAGGGTAATTGTTTTGGAGTACAATGCTAGTGTGGAGCTCATCTTGCAGGGCACCAATGTGCTTGCCAGTGATAACCATCCTGTTCATTTGCATGGCTATAGCTTTTATGTTGTTGGATGGGGGTTTGGAAATTTCAATCCGAAAACTGACCCGAAACGATATAATCTCGTCAACCCGYCAGAGGAGACCACGGTTGGAGTTCCCAAGAATGGCTGGGTTGCTATCAGGTTCAAGGCAAACAATCCAGGTTTGTTTGTATATCCCTACACTTTTAAATGTTATATTTTAAACTCGTAAGTATATAAACGTATCTATGTTTAAGAATGTATATTTTACCATGACCTATTAACATGGTATCAGAATATAATGTTGAACGTTTTAGATATATTTTAAACGTTTTTATTCATCGTGTCTAAGTTATCTATTGATCTTGTTTTTCTTTTTGGTTTGAAATTTGTAGGCATGTGGTTGATGCACTGCCATATTGAGCGTCACCAAGTATGGGGGATGAGCATGGTGTTGTTAGTGAAAAATGGGCTTGCTCCTCACCAACAAATTCTTCACCCTCCACATGATTTGCCTTCATGTTTTAAATAGTCACCAAATCTTTACATTTAGATCTTATTCAATAGACATAGAAGGAAAATGTGAAGATTTTTTTTTTAATGTAACAAATTGGGGTACGAGAATTTGAATCTCTAACCTAAAAGGAATGTCTAATTACCGTTAGAGCTATATTTATGAAGAATTAACGAAACAGGTTTTATTGATCTTCTCGTATATCTCACTTATAAAGTGCCAACAGTAGAACTTTAGAAAGGATAGCCTCCCTGGAGTCCACTTTACTTTCTTCTTTAATTTTTATTTTCCTTTTAAGAAAATTCAACAAAATTAGTATTGACTCAGTTAATGATTTCTAAAATGTTTTGAAATTAAAACAAACTATGCATAATAGGATTGATACTTTATTCCTACCTGCATAGACTCATTTAGGCTATTTGTTAGCCATTAGAAAAAATATGAAAAAGGAAGGAAAGACTCATCCTTTGTGACTCATTCTCTTATTTTCACGATTGAAAACATCTAAGTAGTAACTCAATTTAAGAGGAGTGTTCTCCTCTTCCAACCTCTCCAGAACCTCGAGTCTATCGGTCGTGAACTTCTATTTCTAGAAAAGAAGCAACGTCACGCCAGTTACTAAGTAAAACATTTAATTACTTGAATGCATCAACAAAATCATTTTTTTCCAGTAATTATAACAAAAGCTCTTCGTATAGATATCTTAGATTAAAAATTATTAGATTAGGAAAAAGAAAACATTTTGCCCAATCCATTTTGAGAAAGGCAAATACCTTCGACTCTCTCTGCGAGAGTATTGCCATCAAGAATAATCAACTACATACATACACTAAGTTGGCCTGTTCCAATGCTCAACATTAAATGTTGTCAAACCATTCACCGTACTCAACAAATTTTACCTATCTTACTCCACGTTTAATCTAATTCCATAAGGTTTTAACATTTGTTGATATTTCAATTTGTTAAGACATCTGTATCTGATTAAAACCTTGTAAAATTTCGAATCTCTACTCAACATGTTGTATTAGACAAATAAAGTTCTTGCCATTCATGCCACTATATCAAGAACAGAAAAAAAAAACCATAGTAGTACTATTTTTTTTTTCAACAATGGTTTATATGAAAATTAATCTATTAACTTTCGAAATAGTAATTAATAAAAACTATTTTCTTTTGAAGTTATTTTATTGGTGACCTAATCCAACTAAAAAGTAAAGATTTGACATGGTAGACACTTTACTTGATTATTTGAAATTCATTTTATTTAAAATTTCATTGACAATCACATCATAACTCCTATTGTCGTTTCTTCTGTATCACTCCATCCCCTCTTTAAAAATTTGATCGAATTAAGTGGATCTAATTATTAAATCTTATTTTCCTTGTTTTTCTATTATCAAATTTTCTTTAATACTTTAGTCCGTTAGCTTGGATTTGACCTCATGCTACGCTATGATATGATTGGCAGTGAATATATTAAATTTAATTAATTYGATTATTAAACGAATAATAATTTATTACCATAAATAAATATATATTTGCGAAAATTAGTATAGTACAACAGTACCAACTTGAGCCTATATAACTCATATATAATCGATCTTAAAGTTAGAGATTCGAATTCCCATCCATATATTGTTGAACAATCTAAAAGAAAAAAAATAGCACAAGTTCTATTAATATGATTTATATAAGTTATATTCAATATATTAGTATTTTTTTACTTAACCTACTAGAAAGTACATTAATCAAGATGACAAAAATTGAAAAGAAAAAAAAAATATTAAAAAACAAACATCTCAGAATTTTTTTTGTCATATTTACAAAATTAAAATGTAATTACTATATTTGTAAATATAATAATTGTTCTTTTAATTTTCTTTTTCACAACAATATATGGGAGTAGGATTCAAGCACCCGACTTTTTTTTTTTTTTTTTGAAAATTTATGTCTTTATAGTTCAATTTCACTGATCAATTTTTTTGTTCCATTATAAATACTCCATTATTTATGCATGTATTATATAATTTTTTTCAACTTATTCTAATGTAAGTTTATAGTATATAGAATTTCTCAAATATAGATTCCATTTAGTTGGCCCATCGTGCGTGTACTTTTTTTTTTTTTTTTTTTGCATAAGGAATAGCATATAATATATATATATATATATGAAGGCAAAAGCTAAAAGCCAAATTAAGGTCCATGATTGGTGAATTGAATACACGTCGCAACCAACAATCCATATGAGAGATTCTCGTAACTTTAGCCCACAAACTTTATAAAATTAAGGATAAAATATGAAGCATTACCATATTATATATTTTATTTAGCTAATAAATGATAGTGTTTGGATTCACATTTCAACACCCATCAACTCATGTTGTCTCGAAATTAATATTTTAAAAACATAATCTAACTTTTTTTTTTTACAAAACAAAATATATATATATATATATATATTTTTGGATACATATCAAAAGCATATTAAGGGAGTATTTTGATCACTAATAGTTGGACTGTGAAAATATAAATACTACACTCTAATTACTATACAAATATCATTATTTGATCTTTCATTTTAATAGTTAAGATCTTAAATCGTATCATCCTTGTAAAATAAGTATATCTACTGAGACATTATGACTAACTAAACACCTCTTTGTTTGACCATTATTAATAAATAATTAATCTCTCTATTTTGGGACATAGTATTAAGGATACATATCGACTACCCAACAAAACCTAATTTATTCTCATGAGCTAAAAGCTAAATTTATTCAAAGTGTTTTCTCTTTATTTTAGTTGCCTATTGATAGAGAATAATGAATTACTCGACTTATCTCATTAGTTATTATTGTAAAATAAGTGATGAGTCTCATATATTTGAAATGATTACATGTTTACGTATGTAGCATAATAAGTTAATTGTTAGCCTGTAGCGTTCTAATCAATTTGAATATAGTTATATGGATAATATGTTAGTAATAAAAAATAAAATTATAAGAGAAAGATAAAATAAAAAAAAAAGTTAGAAAAAGGAAAATAAATCGTGAAATTGTAAAAAGATGGAAAGATAAACGTGGGGGAGGTGTGGCGGTGTAAGCCTAAACCCGTGTGCCATTCCAACATTTCAAACTGTTATCAACGAAAAACAATATTAATTAAATTACTAATTTTATCCTGTTTGATATAATTTCAATTTGGTTTAATAATTTTAAAAAGCTTCAATTTAATCTTTAAAATTTTGAGTTTCCTTTTAATTTGGCTCGTACCAATTTGATCCTCACAAATCATGTTTTATATTCGTCCATCTGAAAATCCTACCTTTTTTCCTTCACTTAGTCCTAAATTCTAATATATTCAAGTATATTACATTTAATTAAATAAGAAATTTAGTTTATTGCTTACCTAAAAAATGTGTCAAATTAATATGCAGTACAGAATTTTGGACCACTCTTGAAATACGTGTGAGTTGCATGAGCCATCCAGAACGAGCTATATGAAAAAAGRCGTGAACAAAGCGTTCAGGTCAGTAAGCTCTCAAGACGAGGAATTTGATTACCTACCTACATACCAAAGTATGCTTCAGTGAAATATAGTAGATCCCACGCTATCGTTTTGTTAGACTGTTTCATGAGTTTGTTACACCGTTACAAATAGTTGGACGTCCCACCTCCACGTATAATCTTTTGAAGACTAACATTGGTTTTTACCGAGCTATCAACTATCACTCTAGTCGAGCTACATAGGATGATCATTGTGTATTTTTCAAGGTGACGAGTCACGTGTGATGATCTATTTCCTCTCTCTCTATGTGGCAGGTCATATGTTAATGTTACCCTCTCGTAGTAATAATGATAACAATAATTGAAAATCTTTAAACAGAGACTAAATTGAAACTAAAATCAAATTAGCAATAAAATTGGTTCATATTACTCATGGATATCAAAATATCAAAATTATCAATATATATATATATATATTATTAATAAATATTTATATCTTATTTTAAAATATAAATTTTTTTGTGCCCAAATATTTATATCAACACGTTAATCTATTACTAATGAATCATTTTAATGAATTTTCTTAGTATCTATGGACTATGAATTCATTTTTCAAATGTTTGAGTAATTATTTATTTAGCTCCTCTTATATTAACAATTAACAAAAAAAAAAAGAAAAAAAACTTTCGATTTAGGTACTTATTCAGTATTTTTCAGTTACATATATCTTCACTATTTGTAAATAATGTTAAAACTATCTCGATTAACTTACTTCACATTGCCGTTTATAAAAAAAATATTGTTACCAGAGAAGAAAGCCCACCTACCACGTATCGAACATCCAAGAAATGAACAGACCTGACGTCACCAGGTCTGCAAAAGAAAAGCAAATCAACCCGACTTTGCCAGGTTGTTTTTGCCATCAGAGCGCAATATCAATGGGATTGACCAAGCCAGTCAGCGCCACCGTCAGGCTAGCTCTTGTCGAGATAGAAGGCTAGAATCTCGGCCTCCCTTACCAAACCAATTCACCTACAACCACCTATAAAAATGAGGAGTATCACATCATTCCGGTATGTTCAAACCTTTCATGAGATACATTATTCACTATTGAACTCCAACTAATTTTGCACGACACTTACCTAGCAGAAGGGATAAGCCACTTCGCTTGCACAAACTAATTTTGTGCACGAACACTTACTTTACATCATATTTAATACTGCATTGACAAAAATTATTTAAAAGAAGAATTAGGTCACCTGAAAGAGAAAAGTTTCAAATTTCTCCTCCAAATGTTTAGAGATTAGCCTAAAGTAATTTATAATTTTCTTTCTGTTTGGTCCTTGAATTATTGTCAGCTCACTAATTATTATACTACATAAGTGTTAGATTTTCGTATTAACTTCATGTATTCAATAAAACTCTTCATTGTTTATGTATTCTCTCTATTTTCTCTCCTCCTCTAAAACTAACCGTCACTAGGTACACCCTCCACTAGTTTTAACATTCATGTATCAATGTTTAATGAAAAATTATTCAAGAAATTTTTATAAT